ATCTGTGTTTTTCAGTTTTTAGTGTTAAGACAAAATATAATACAACAAAAATGAAAAAAAAACAAGTGCTGCGTGGAGACGCAAAAGAATGCAAAGTTCAGCAGGTTACTCGAGGTGTCTTCAATGAGAACGGATGAAACACGGCGTATCCGGTCACTTTTCAAAGTAAAATATGTTTAAGCTTCAAATAATAAATAAACTGGAACTTGTTTTATTCTTTCAACTGTGTGGCCCGCTGTGGCCAGGTCCATATTGGCTCACGGGCTAGTGGTTGGGGACCCCTGATATATCAACATTTTGCTACATTACAAACAACTCCTGTTTTATTTTCTGCTTTTTCAAGGTATACACCAGCAGCACATCTCTCTGAGGTGACATATGACTCCACCTTGGTGACCTTCACTTACGATGAGGCCTCTGGCAGCGTCAAAATCATCCATCTCACCCACAACGGCTTCATAAGCTCTATACGATAAAGGCAGACAGGTACACGTGCATTTTAAAGCAACAGTCAGCCCCTCTTTAAAATATTTGTTATGTGCAATCATTTTTAAAGCATGACTCAATCCATCTGCAATATGACGTGTTTGTGGGCTCAAACCTTCTGGAGCGGAAAAGCAACAATTGCAAAAGTGTGAATAAGGCATGTGTGCAAATGCAGTCAACCCAGAAAGACCACCGGCAGACCACACACTGTTCAACGGTATAACTTGAAACAAACAAACAAAAAAAAAGAAACAACCCCCTAACACCACTTACCGAAAACAAAGTAGGTGGGGGTGTTTGTAGTTGAACTTTGAATGTTGTGCCTTTTTTTTTTTTTTACACACTTATGTTGTTCATCTTCATTTAATTTGAAACGATATGAAGTTGATTCTTTGGTGGCATTTCTTTGCTGTTGTGTGCATTGTGCACCTTCACCAGCAGCCTGTTTAGAACAGTTTTGCCACTTCTCCTTTGCTATACAATTTCTACCTTTTTGCATAATGCTGGGCCATTTCCACTGTGATATTTTATTCAGAGGAAATTATCGGCAAAAATTGACTTTTTTGTTCGTGCACAACCGTGAAAAGATTCACCCCAACATCGAGCCGGCTGTTATCTACTCAGCCATTAATGCAGCCCATCGAAAGCTATGTCTGTTGAAATACTGCAGTTCCTTGTTAACATTCAAACTCAGTTTGTACCTAACAGGAGTGCCGTCATACACGCTTGTAATTACAATTTCAGCATCCCCGTCAGCGACAAACATGATACTGACGTCTTCATGCTGTTTGTTAGAGACTTGCTGGTTTCACACAGCATGTGTAAGGATATCCTGTATGCTCAATGTTTTAGTAGACAACAATATTTATTATTTTTATTATTATTATTATTATTATTATTATCATCGTTATTATTATTATTATTATTTACAGCAGCACGGTTTAGCTTGTCCACCTTACAGTGCAGAGGTCTGGGGCTTGATTCGAGGGTTTGGCCAGACTAACCCTCTGCTGAAACATGATCCTGAGTGATTTTACAAACACTGCCACCTAATCGCCTTTTTTTGTTTTTGTTTGTTTTTTTTAAATGATTTACACCGGAGTCAACCCTGATCCATCAGTAAGAAGTTGCGTCAGACCTGCCTGTACACTCTTGTGAGAAAAAAAAAACTAAGACATATAAATACGTCTTGGATGAGTCGGGCCTCGGTTTTAAAAGACACACACACACACACACACACACACACACACACACACACATATATATATATATATATATATATATATATATATATATATATACACTGTATTTATGTATGTCTTGTGGATTCAAAGCATTAACGACGTTTTCACCCACTCAAGATTTCTACAAAAGTGTCCGTGGCATTAACTCTTTTAATTGTGTCTGTTACAAGAACAAGAAAATAAACATGTATGAGAAAATCTCAAACTGTAAGTTAATTAAGTTTAACAGACAGTTTCTCATGGTATCACCTTTCGCACTTGATCTAGTGTGAAAGGTGGTACCATGAAACCACTGAACAGTGTTCAGTGGTTTCTCCTTTTCTCACGATGAGTTTCTTTATGCTCTCTCACCTCTCCACAGGCCAAGGTAGCTAGCATTAGCATGGTTAGCATCAAGCTTATGCTCCTGTTTATACATGTTCACCTATAACAAGTGATCAGTACTGTTTTAAGACTATTAACAACAGATTTGTATGACTTTTTATGTATATTTTACTAACCTGTGGGAAAAATAGAAAAGACATGTTCAGCTACTGTTGTCATCTCAGAAGGAAAATGTATTCCCTCTCTGGGCACAAACGCTACTCTATGCCACCAGTGCCACTGCACTGGCTGTGGAATAGATATGGAAACTGCTGAGAAACTATAGAATTTAAACAAGGAAAAATAAACATAAATGAATAACAGTAAATACATCAGGGTCAGTGTTTTTATATGCTTTAGTCTCCTTATTCAGCTTATTCTTAAAACATTTCTACACACATCCGATTTCAACTCTCTACAGATGTCATCGTATTTTCTTCAAAAATATGACAAGAGTTTGGGATAACCTCTCCGAATCATTGTAGAAAATCAATTCATTGAACGAACACTCATCATTTTCATTTTAAAAATCTCTTAATAGCAGCCCCTGCACACCTATTGTGGGGAATGGGGATGTCACACACAGACACACGGCCAAGGATGCAAGGTGGTTTCCAGTTGCCCACGACCCCATCATCCACAAGGGAAGATCTTGCAGTTCACCTGTATAAACGTGCTTTGCACTTGCCATGCATGGACCCCATAAAGTCTAATTTTGATTCCGCAATATCAAGCATCTGTGTTCTTCTGCCACCCTGATTTTAAGGGATTGGTTGGTTGCAAATGCCCCCTTACACCCAATCTTACCTGTGCAAAGTCTACGAAAAGACCAAAGAAAAGAAAATTCCACCCATGTGCAGAGTTAGACTGTGCTTTGCGCTAGACTTGCACTGGGCATGAAAATAAAGCCTTTTATTTGATATTCACATGCTGCCGTGCCTGACCAGTAAACCTGTGATTAACAGTCACTCGGTAAACCAGGTGTCACCAATGTGCAGGGCAGTGTGTGCATTTGGGCGTACCTCCGTGTGTGCAGGTGTTTGTGGGTTTTATCACTCTGCCTTCACTGTGAAAAAGCTTTCACTTTTCCTTTAACTGATCTAATTTCAGCAGAACAAACGGATGTTCAGAGAGCGAGGAGATAGCGGTAACTGTCAACTTAAGAGGAGACGGTAGAGTTGAGACTGAAAAAGGAGGATAATGTTAGAGGAGAAAATGAGCAAAAAAGGAGTGGAAAGATGACAGTTTTAGAAGCAAGAGTAGCATACTCCGAGTTCCCTTGGGTTTTTTGAAAAGCTGACTGCTGCTCACTCTGCTTGAATGTGCCATTTCCCTATTCGTGGAGGTGCAGATTCAACATTCTACAGAAAATAAAAATAGAGGATGTAATGATGATCCATCGCTCTATACTCCGCCAAGCCAGGCGCTTAGCCACTTTAAGTCCTATCAGAGTCATGTCAGATGCAGCTATAATGCCGTTTCATTAACAGCCCCCCCCCACCCACCCCCAATGGAGGACGAGTGGTGGTCACTTGCAAGAGATTAAACGAACAATGTCGAAGTGGACGTTCTGACATTAAGGAACACGTTGGCCTATCATGGCTATTGTCTTTAGACTTCATTATCTGTCCGTATTAAAGGTCAGCACTGGAAATGCCAAGAGAAGTGTGCGGGTAGTTACAAATGGATGGATTGCACTGAGCGTGTCGCCGTTTATGATGTTGAACACTCTCCGTCAATTGAATTGATTGGGTAGGCTCAGTTGGTTAGGTGATGATGAACTAGGGCAGTGGTTCTTAACCTTCTTAGAGGTACCGAACCCAACCAGTTAATGTGCACATTCACCGAACCCTTCAGTAGTGAAAACAGAAAAAAAAAAAAAAATGGCCACCGCACTGATTGGACAAGCAATGTAATGTGATCATCTGCAGCCAGCGATGGCCAAGCGGGCGTATCATAACTAATTGACATGTTGAGTCGGGTGTGTCTTAACCTCCATGGCAGAGGCTCCGTCAAACCCCTGAGACCGATTCACCGAACCCCTGGGGTTCGATCGAACCCAGGTTAAGAACCACTGAACTAAGGCGTGTGTGTGTGTGTGTGTGTGTGTGTGTGTGTGTGTGTGTGTGTGTGTGTGTGTGTGTGTGTGTGTGTGTGTGTGTGTGTGTGTGAGTGTGTGGGTGGAGCAGTTTGGCAAGTTCAGCGTCATCTTTTATGACCTCAACCAGGTACATTACGTGAAATGAAACCATATACAGACAATACTTGTTTATATTTATATTTTGGCCCTTGGTGTTTTGCTCTCTGAAAACATTCTACTTTTTTCATAATTATTTCTGGACATAGTGAGAACTTCTCAAGGTTGTATGGCTAAAACGGTCGTATTTGCTCACCAATACAAACTGGCCTCTACAGCCTGTGAATGTATTTTTTCCATATATCCATCCGTCCATTCTCTGTACTGCTTATTTTACCGGCAACTGCGTGTATGCCTGATTAACCCTCTGCTGTTGCTTAGGTGATCACTACACATCTGATGAAGCACACCAAGGTGTTTAACTCATACGGCCAAGTGGTGGAGGTCCAGTACGAGATCCTCAAATCTATCGCCTACTGGATGACCATCCAGTATGACTCTGCAGGACGTACAACCACCTGCGACATTAGGGTGGGCGTGGACAGCAATGTGACCCGATACACCTACGAGTATGACGCGGACAGCCAACTGCAAAGTGCTGCCGTCAATGAGCGGCCTCAATGGCGCTACAGCTATGACCTCAACGGGAATATCAACCTGCTGAGCCACGGCACCAGTGCAAGGTAAGGCCGTATCGCCTTTATATTTGTTGATGTTATTCCATCAAAATAGTGTTTTCTGTGCAATACGTAATCAGAAATCTTTCTGAGTATATCTGCTTCCACCAATATCCAATGTGTTTGCAATATCACAATATACACGACGAGCAAAAAAGAAACGGTCAACAGTGCAACATACTATGTATTTAAAAGTTTAGAGATGGTCAAATTAAGTTCACCTGTAAAGGTCACAGTGCATTTTTAGGTTTATCCAGTGCATCCTCTGATGCAATATCACAATATACACGACGAGCAAAAAAGTACGGAAACGGTGAACAGTGGAACATACTATGTATTTAAAAGTTTAGAGATGGTCAAATTAAGTTCACCTGTAAAGGTCACAGTGCATTTTTAGGTTTATCCAGTGCATCCTCTGGTTGATGTGTTACTCTGATTTCTTGAAATGAACCTAATCGTACTGTGTAATTCAGGCCTTAGGCCTTTGTGCATGTTCTCATGTTCTCTTGTTCATATTGTTTCCTCGGGATACTCCCGTTTCCTCCCATATTGCTGAAATTTGAACATTAGACTCTAAAATAGGTGTGTATATGTGTGAGAACGGTTGTTGTGTTCTGCAATTGAACGTGACCAGACCAGTGTGTGTAACCTCTCAATATAAGCCAATGGCCCATCAAAGTGATTTTTTTTTTTTAAAGCAGTTTATTCAAAATTGAGTAAGTGCTCTTACTTGGATACTCCCGTTTCCTCAGACATTGCTGAAATTTGAACATTAGACTCTGAAATAGGTGTGTATATGTGTGAGAACGGTTGTTGTGCTCTGCAATACAACGTGACCAGACCAGTGTGTGTAACCCCTCAATACCCCATCAAAGTGATTTTTTTTTTTAAGCAGTTTATTCAAAATTGAGTAAGTGCTCTTACTTAACGTGAATGGCACAGACCTAAACCGGTCAACTCTTGTAGCCAGTCATTACATCATGAGCTTTTCAGCAGTCTTGTGAAATTTGACAGGTTCCCAGCGGGTCAATTTTACACCTAACTATTACAACGTAGATAAACTGGCAATGTTTTTATGGTTCAGATTTACAGCCTGAAAGATGTGTGCATCTAACCTTTCCCAAGGCGCCAACATGATAATAGTTGTTTTGCAGGAAATTAAGATTGTCATGTTCCTTCCAACATTATTGCTGCCCTAAGGATGATTTATTATGCTCTTAAAAAAAAATAAATCTTCATGGCTCCACGTTGTATCTCCAACCACGAGGCGTTTAAAGTCACATTTGAATTTTCACATATTGCAGACTCGTTATTTAGCATTTCATGCATCCAAAGCCTATTTTCTGGTGTGCTTGACTCCAGGTTGGTTCCACTGCGTTATGACCAGCGAGACCGCATCACACACCTCGGTGAGATACAATACAGTGTGGATGACGACGGATTCCTCCGTCAGCGAGCCAATGACCTCTTTGACTACAACTCCAATGGGGCGCTGTACTACGACCTGCAGGGTCACCTCATCGCCATGGAGTTGAGCAGTGGGGAGGAATACTACGTCGCCTGTGACAGTGTGGGGACCCCAAGGGCCGTTTTCTCAAGCAAGGGCCGACTGGTCAAAGAGATTCTCTATACCCCCTACGGAGAAGTCTATCAGGATACCAACCCTGACTTTCAACTCATCATCGGATTCCACGGAGGCTTGTATGATCCTCTCACACGGCTAGTCCACCTGGGTAGGCGGGATTATGACACTCTAGCTGGTCGCTGGACTTCACCCAACCATGAGCTGTGGGTTGAGCTGAGCAAGGAGCCAAGACCGTTTAACTTATACGCCTTCAAAAACAACTGCCCCATGGGGAAAGTGGAGGAGGTGACGCAGTTTACAACAGGTGAGCCTCTCACATGTTCGTTTCATTATGAAATACGGATTCACTGACGCACAGCTGAGCGCTATTCGTACCAAGCGCGATGATTTGATTGAGTTGAATAGAGTTTTGTCCGACTTTTATGAAGGTACCGGTTGCAGTTCGCTTGTGAATGGTGGAACCAAGCCTCTTGCTGTCTGTTGACAGTTTGACGTGGAATTATAATTTTATTCAGATGACAAAAGAATGAAATATCCCTTTGCCTTTGATTGGTACTTGTTCAACTAGCCACTGCTCTCCTCGCTATTGACACGTTGCCACCAAAACCAGCTAATAAGAGGCATTATGTCTTGTGCTTGGTCACTCAGGGTTCAACACGCACTGATCTGATAATCTATGAATGATGTAAACCACTTCATCATTGCAGCTCAATGTTCATCCTTTGTGGATACATGGCTAGACATGACAAAAATGTTACCCTGTAGACTGGACATCGCATTCTTTTACTCCACTTACATGCAGATGTCCATATCAGGTTTTCCCAACTTTTATTGAGTAGAAGAGGGCATTTTATTTCAATCTTAATTATGATTCTTCACCAAATAAAAATGTCACAAATCATTTTGAATACTGCAATAAGAATGATCTTGTCTCATTTACTCACAAAGTGATTTACTCTGTCTGAAATCTGGACCCTGATTAATTCACCACTAAGCTGATATACACACATGAAGTCACGGTTTATTCTTCTGAATGAATGGGACTGGTTGGATGCACGGGTTTATTATTTCTTATGCCATCGAACGCACAGCATTTGTTGTGCCTTTCACTATCTGTGCCTGGCATAGATGAGCAAAGATATACGAGTTGTAATTCATGAATAATTATTTGGGGATCAATTAAGTGAAATTGGATAATTTCCCATGGCACCGATGTGAATCTTTCTTGGTTGACATGGCACCCTGGTTGGGAATTACTGATCTACAATATTTTCCTGCCAATATATTTTGTCTCCTTATAGTGGCTAGGAAGTCAACATAGGAGATCTACTGTGTTGTCTTGATTCAACTGATGCATAGTTTAGAGCTCACTGCCCCAAACTAAGGGCAGCATGGATCACATGAAAAAAGTCGTCTCCCAGCCAGAAGGTTGTGGGTTCCAGTCCTCAGCCTTTGCACCATGTCGAAATTGTCCTTGAGCAAAGATATTGAACCCTCAGTTGCTATGATGCCGCCTCATCAATAGGTGAATGACGAGACAGCGGTAAAGCGGTTTGAGCACCTTGCAGGTCGAAAAGTGCTATACAAGCGAAAATCCATTGAGCATTTGGAAACCCAATGGGAAGAAGAGTTGATGGAGTACAAGAGTTTAATTGATGGTTTACAAGATAATCCCCAGTGCACGTTGTGTTTGCAGGTTTTTAAACATATGTTTTTACCTTGCCATCCCGCCTACTTACGTTGCAGAGGAGAATCGACGCATCCAAACCGTACTGCGGTGAACAGTACTGCACTGTACTTACTTGGAGACGTGAGAGAAGTGCCATATGACAACTATAGCACACTTCGGGGAGATATTGCACTCAATCGCCCACGCTCGGTTTCTCTCTCTCTCTTTCTCTCTCTCTCACTCACACACACGCACACGCACACATTGAAAACATCTGCCGTTGAGAATGAGATGACACAGGTGAGGCTATGTGTCAGACAGAGAAAATGTAATAGACTGAAGAAAACAGGCAAGAAACAGGACAGCCTCTGATCGTCTTGTTTTTCAGTTTTTTTTTTGTTTTTTTTTTCAACACAAGATTTTATGCTTTGTCCTCTTTTGTCTGTCAAGAACACACTGTTTCCCCAAGGGGTGAAACAAAAGCTTGAACAAGAGAGGGAAATGGAAGGGTGGACTATCAGAGTGAATGAAGCATGTAGGTCGGGTCATCTGTCTTTCACAACAATGAAAGATTAATTTGGACCATCGTGATCTGCAATATTATTGGTTATTAAAGAGTGAATGCGTTTGTCATAGAGATGCAACTGATTCTCTACAGCATATTTTGCTCAGTTATGAAACGAGTTGACTCCGCAGTCTAATGACTGTTTTGCTTCCGATTGTGTGTGTGTGTGTGTGTCTATGTGTCTGTGTGTGTGTGTGTGTGTGTGTCTATCTGTCTGTCTGTCTGTCTGCCTGTATGTCCAACCATCAATTTTCTGATCCGCTTATCCTCACAAGGGTCTCGGGGTGTGCTGGAGCCTATCCCAGCCGTCTTCAGGCAGGAGGTGGGGGACACCCTGAACTGGTTGCCAACCAATCGCATTGCACACATACACGAACAACCATCCGCGCTTACACTCACACCCAGGGACAATTTATAGTGTTCAATCAGCCTGCCATGCATGTTTTTGGAATGTGAGAGGAAACCGGAGTACTCAGAGAAAACCCACACAGCCACGGGGAGAACATGCAAACTCCACACAGGAAGGCCGGAGCCGGAATCGAAACCTCCATCTCTGCACTGTGAGGTCGACGCGCTAACCAGTCGACCACCGGGCCACCCTGTTTCTGTGACAGTTTTCTGGCTAACAAGCCACAAAAAGAGGCAATGATGGCGTCGTAGACTTAATAAAATACGCCTCACAAATAAAGATAAGTGACTTGGAATCACTCCAAGAAACAAGACTGGCATGCACTCTGGCCAAGAACCTCTCTAACACTTTTAGACCCCTTTGAGACTTGGCGCAAATACAAGTAGCTCGGTGGTAACTGCTAATGATCGGCTCAGTCCTATCAATGGTTTCGAAGCAGGAACAGGTTTCAATGCTTGAAAGTCTAAATGGCTCATCCGCTGTAGCTTTCTCCTCTGACAGCAAGTTGTGTGTCGTGGTTAAAGTGCAGTGCAGTTCTCGAGGGTAATTCAGATGTGAACGTTTGTGATGGATGGCCAAATAAGAGGTGTGAATTGATCAACCATTAAACAAAAAGGTGCATTAAAGAGGCTTTGCGTTATTAATGCGTTAATGTTTACAGCCCTTTTATATGTGTGCATTTATGTGGGTGTGTCTGTGTCTATATATATATATATA